CAGACGCATATTCCGGTCTTCACTACTCCTCCTCATCCTCAGACAAATGGAAGAGTTTATGGCGGTGGATCTGGATCAGATGGTGTGTTTGCGAACCTGAGTGCGAAGCCAGAGCGGGGTGAGAAATTGGAGGAACATCCGCCTGTACGTTTTATTCATTGGCATGGGAAATATTTTTGCTAACATAAATACAGACATACGAACAGGCAGCAGCAGATGCTGCCCCTCCATACTGGGAAACCACAATTCTCGCACCGGGAATGGGCGGACCAGATGAAGTCTACGTCGATGGACTCCCCGTTGGCTCCGTCTTCTCCTTTATCTGGAACGGCATGATTTCGATGTCCTTCCAACTCGTTGGTTTCCTCCTCACCTACCTACTTCATACCACACATGCAGCTAAGAATGGATCTCGTGCTGGCCTTGGTATCACTCTTGTTCAATATGGTTTCTACATGAAAGGCTCAGGGGGCATGAGTCCCCCATCTAATGGCCAAGACCCTACTTACCAGCAACCTCCAGACCCCAACAGTCACGATTTCGACCCTAACGCAGTCAATGGAAATTCAGCGCAGGGGATGGACTCAGGCTCTGGAGGTTGGGGCGATATTGGGACAAACGATTGGCTGGCTTATATCCTCATGATTGTGGGATGGTTCATCTTGATTCGGGCAGTCAGCGATTTCCTCAGGGCGAGAAGACACGAGCAACTGGTTTTGCAGAGTCCAGAGCGGGGTCTGAATGTGCCTGTAATTGCTACCGGAGAGGAACCTGCCACCGTGGTCTGAGCCGAGTGGTTGATAGTGTTTGCGTGGCGTTCATATGGCATGGCCAAGCAAGGCCAAGCGTTTGTGTGTTTGGGGTAGGTTTAAATGAGCAGTAGTAGCTCACGGCGTTTATGCTTAGGCGGCGCTAAGCTAGGAATTGGTGAATATAAGTACATCTATCGCATTTTGTGAACTTTCACCTGGTTTCTATCTCATCTCTCAAAAATCATTTCATGTTGTTCTTGCCTGAAGTTACAGGTAAGTTGTGTTAAGAATGGAATTATATTCCGGCTTTGTCTTGGTCAAATTTTATCCTTCTGTACCTAGGGAGCGAATCTGCCTCCAAGAGGCAGTGGGCTGCTGCTAAGCTCGCTTGTTCGCAGCGATATGTTCTTTCTTGATTCCACTATACCCTATATTGCGAAATAATCATCGGTGATTCTCACATTTTTACTCCTATTTTAGACCTGTCTTTGATTCTCATAAGACGGTAGCTCTCACTATTCAACCGATTTGCACCTACTTCAGTTGTCAAGTTACATCTTCTTATACTACAATGATTGTCAACCTCTTAATATACAAGAAACCAAGTCACCAGCCTATCTACTCCGCACCTTCTCTACATACTGCTGTTCCTACCGTCTCATCACATCTCACTACCTCTCCGCCATCTAAGCCAGCTGACTCGCAAGAGCCGTGATCTGATCTAGTGTCGTCTGACTCTCCCTCACTGCGTTCTTCGTAACCTTACCGAGTAAATGCTCAACGGTCTGTCCAGGATCTGTAATGGCAATCCCCTGCGCGGTCTTGATCCTCGCCACCTGCATGGCTAAGAAAAACTTCGGTGCCTTGATCCCTAATCCTCCGCCTACACTTCTAATACCCGCTTCCGTAGCGAGATACACGTTGAGCTGGTCTTGAAAGAGCGCGAGGTCGGTAGAGGCGAGAGGAGTGTCGGTGGCGAACTCGGAGAGCGCGAAGGCCAGGGGAGAGGACGAGGAGGCGCTAAAGTCGATGCTGGAGAAGGTTGTGCTGCCAGATGTGACATCGGGGACGCCGGAGATGGTTTTCACAGTGGATGAGCAAGTTATGGTATCTTGGAGGGAGGTTACGACGTCTTGGACTTCGGCAGGGAGGGTGGTAGAGCCAACGACGAAGCAGGCTGTAGTTTGTCGAGGGACGAAGAGGGGGACTGGAGAGTGGGTTAGTCCGTTGTTGGTGTCCAGGGAATTGCTGGGTTTTAGAGAGGGTGTGAGATGGAGCAGATTCTATCATACCTGAGAGAGCGGTGCCAGCGAGGGCAAGAGCGCTGATTAGGGCTGTGGAGTACATGTTACAGGTGGAGGAGATGTGAAGAGATTCTTGTCCTGGACGATTGACTTCTTGAATCGTAGAAAGAGTGAGGGGAATTTTACAAGCAAGACCAGTTGCAGAAGAAAGACAATAAGATAAAAACAACACAGTTGCCGAATAGTAAGTGAACAATAGAAAGAGAAACGAGTGGATTGATGAAGTGAGAGCGAGAAGAGAAGAAGATCAGACGAAACGCGGAATATGATCGACTTTAAACCTGTCCGAGTGAGAGCACGAGGACGGCCATAGGAGAGTCGCAGAATCGAGGAATAGACTCCAGATTAGGAGTGTCAAAACGTTTAGAGTGGAGTCGCTTGAGGGAGATCGGATGATGGGTGCACCTTGGCGGTTGTTTCAGACGCGGTTTCGCAGGGAACGAGGAGGGATCTTGGGACGAGACAATTGACTTCGCTAGTGCTTCAAGGTGAGAGTTGATGCGAGGCGAGGTCTAGCGCGCTAAGTTTGGGGGTTCGGTCTGATTTTCTGACTTCTAATCTGTAGGTTCGAGGCGGTGTTACAACTTGCAAATGATGGACTTGGGAGCTAGTCTCAGTTCGGCATGGAATTAACACAATTCTGATTACCGAACGATTCGACTACAATGCGTATCCGGAAATCTCACATGCCTGTGATTTAAGCTTAAAAAGAAGAACATATACCGTGTGAGGAACATAAAGTGGATACTGTTTTCGTGTGAGATAAGAGGGGTGGACCTCGCATTTCGGAAAGTTTTGGAAAGCAGGCTAAAGTTACCAAGTTGTGAGATCGCCGTGCTGATACGGGTGATTTAAATGAGTAGAAGAAGCCAGGAGGAAAATAGAGGACGGCACATGTGAGTACTTCGATACTTCGATGAGGAAGAAAGTTACTTAAGCAAAATCGAAAAGGGTTTCAAGGATGGGAATGAAATATGATACAACTTAAGACGGAAGGCGAGAAAACAGGAAGAGAAGCGATGTTGTTGGAATGTGATGGCGAACCTCTCCGCTACTTGTTGAGTTGAACGCAGATTGACTTTTGAAATATCGCACCTAAACGCTGTCCCTAACGCCTCGTGAGTGTCTGTGGACGGGGATTCTTCCCTTACTCCTTAATCATCACTGTTGCAAACTCGAGATCATGGAAGGGAAGTCCATAATTGTCAAGCTCGGCCGCTTTCAGTTCGGGGCGTCCGTCAGAGGAACGTATCTCACCCCGTACATCTTCTTCTTTGTCACTACACCATCGGCGTCTTTGTCGATGACCCAGATGTACTGACCTCCTCCGCGAGGATCTTCAATTGGAATGAATATCCTAATGACCAGATAAGACACTCTTCCTGCTGTCAATTAAAGTAGCGATAACTCACCGGCCTGGACTTCTCAGTTGATCAATCAATTCCTGGTGAAGTTCAACAGCAGCTGCTCCAACATGAATAGCATCCCATCCTTTCTCACTATCCTGGCCATGGGTCCAGCCTTTCCTACCATCACCTACAACGAAGCTCACCCTGTTATCCTTCAACAGTTCTTTACCCCTCTCACTCTTTGACATGTTCCTTTCACCTAGATCCCTCAACGCCTTTATATGTTCCAGTCCTACCACTCTCGCAATGGCAGTATCTGCGCTAGATTCTTTCTGAGGACTTACGAGCTCTGCCAGCACGGCAGTCAAGTATCCAGATCCCGAGCCTATATCTAGTACTCTGCAACCAGGCTTTAGGAACAGGAGAAGGGACTCGGCGGCCGAGGCATGCATATGTGGAGCAGATATCGTAGCAGCGTGCCCGATGCTTTGAGGTGAGTCTTCGTAGGCGTAGTATGGGTCTGGGCAGTAGTGGGCACGATCAACCTTGAGCCGTCAATCCCTCACCAGTATATAGAGTGACAGGTGGGTACAGACATTGAGCATCGCATCCCGAACTCTAGAACTAGTTATAAGCTTGGCTTTGAACAGGTTCTCAATCAATTCAGCGTTTGTCCTGCCGCCACAGTGCCACGCCATAGTATTGTAGTCGCCGCTGAATAAGCGGACCAATTTGCGGATTGAATGCAGTTTGGCTAATTAGAAGAGGTTCAACAGCAAATAAGGAAATGTGACGTCCGTTGATCTTTGCTGACAGTGTAAGTCGGTGGACTGAAAATTGTATATTGATCATACTGTAGGGAAGGCTGTAGAATTGCGGGGTCAAAATCCCAGCCTTGTTGGGGGCAGAGCCGAAGATCGGCCGACATGCAGTAAGGGGCCTGCTTGGTCTCAATTTTTCAAGCGGAATTGAGAAGTAATAAGGTACCGGCAGTTTACTCAAGTAGAACTTGCCTGTCCCTTTGACTTTTCAGGAATATAGATCTTGTATTGCACAAACTTCTACCTAGTCGCTAGAGATCTTCTAAACTAATGTACAAGGGATCAGAACATTGAGTTCTTGCTTTAAGAGCTTACAAATAATAATAGCGGTTCGCGCAAGAGTATCGACATATCTAACTTTATTATACGCAAGATCAGGAGGTGGAGTATAGTCTTTTAGTGTCGAGAACGTCGACGCGTAAGAGGAGGCATTGTCGATACTTTGTTTACTTTACTTCGAAAATACGATTTGCACAGGGGGTGCACGTGTCTTAATCGGCCACTTCCCTTTGCACCCGATACTGCGCGATTGAGGGTTTTGCTGCCTGGTGGCTTTGGCTTGGCTGGGTTGTTAGGCTGGGGGTCTGGTGAAGAGTTTGGAGAGGCTCGCGGCGGCTGATCGGGACCCGGCGGTTACAATATCGTTGCCTGCCACCGGAGACGATAGTCGGAACTATTAATATTCCGGTGAGATAACGCTGCAGATTTCGTACAAGCTGATACTTTTAAACAGCTGAGGCTTCCTTGCCAGAAGCTTAGTCTAACATGCTTACTTATACATCCTTAGGTACATATTTCCACAAATTAATATAGCCGACTGAGAAATCGTGTTCATGATCGCTTTCCACCGGGAAAGTTTGTCCCGGAGGCATTTTCGAAAGGCAAGTCCATGGATCTGCTTCGCTGATGAACGATAGCACTTTCGACCTCAGGACTACCAAATTCCAGTGTTGCCTGGCTAATTTTCTCGTCGGGCAAGGAATCTAGTCCTTTTAACACCCTTCGCATATAGCTGACAATCTGTCCCAAGACCCTAATATCGACCTCTTCATTTGCCTTAAAGATATTCCTCCAAACAGCTGCTGCTAATACAGCATCCCCCTTGACCAAACCCTCGTCGTATGCTGCTAGTAAACCTCTCCATTGAATGAATAGGTCTTTGAGATATTTGCTTCTTGTCCCAGAGGCATGCATGTTATGGTAAATCGTCATACGATTCTCCGCGTCGTGGAAAAAGTGATCAAGGAGGTGCTGCTGCCATGTATTATGTGACGGTAGGGGAAAGCATCGAATCCTCACAGAGAGAAGGTACATATGTAGCATAGTCACCTGCGACCAGGTACTGAACGTGGGCTTCAAACCTGCTCCTGTGCAATTTGTCAGATGAGGCTACACGTCTTGGCCTGACATGCCTAAACTTGCCTTGTAGCCACCAACCATCACCAACGCCTAGATCCTCTCCGTCCTCGGTTTTTGGTATCTCCTCCTCCGAGTTTGCATCTTGACTTATCAAATAGTTTGCCTGTCGCGCACACTCTTTGTAAAGAACTTCAGTGGCCCCG